ATACACCTGCGCACACCTGGGCGCACCTGGGGTACCTGGGGTACACCTGGGCACACCTGGGCACACCTGGGGACACCTGGGGTACACCTGACATACACCTGGGGTACCTGGGCACACCTGGGGCACACCTGGGCACACCTGAGATACCTGGGACACACCTGGGACACACCTGAGATACACCTGGACACACCTGGGGACACCTGGGGACACCTGGGGACACCTGGAACACACCTGGGATAACTGGGGAACACCTGGGACACACCTGAGATACACCTGGGGACACACCTGGAATACCTGGGGTACGCCTAAGATACACCTGGGCACACCTGAGACACACCTGAACACACCTGGGATACACCTGGGACACCTGGGGAACACCTGGAACCCAGTCTGGAACCCAATCTAGAACCCAGTCTAGAACCGAGTCTAGAACCGCTCTAGAACGTTCTGGAACCTGCTCTAGAACCGAGTCTAGAACGTTCCGGAACCCGGTCTAGAACCCGCTCTAGAGCACACCTGGGGACACCTGAGACACACCTGGGGACACCTGGACACACCTGGGGAACACCTGGGGACACCTGGGGACACCTGGGGACACCTGGCCCCTCCCCCACGCTCCAAAACCAACGTTTCCTGACCCCAAAATCCCCAAAAATCCCCCCAAAAAATCCCCAAAAAATTAAAAAAAAATTAAATAAAATCCCCAAAAAATCCTAAAAAAATCACAAAAAATCCCCCCAAAAATCCCAAAAAATCCCCAAAAACTCCAAAAAAAATCCCCAAAAAATCCCCAAAAAATCCTAAAAAATCCCCAAAAAATCCCCAAAAATTCCCCCCAAAAATCCCAAAAAACCCAAAAAAATTCCTAAAAAATCCCCAAAAAATCCCCAAAAAATCCTAAAAAAATCCCAAAAAAACCCCAAAAAATCCCCAAAATTCCCCCAAAAAATCCCAAAAATTCCCAAAAAAATCCCCAAAAATTTTCAAAAATTCCCCAAAAAAATCCCCCAAAAATCCTAAAAAATCTCAAAAAAAATCCCAAAAAAACCCCCAAAAAATCCCCAAAAAATCTCCAAAAAATCCCAAAAAAAATCCTAAAAAATCCCAAAAAATCCTCAAAAATATCCCAAAAAATCCCAATAAAATCCCCAAAAAAATCCTAAAAATCTCAAAAAAAAATCCCCCAAAAATCCCAAAAAAAATCCTAAAAAATCCCCCAAAAATCCCATAAAAATCCCCCAAAAATCCCCAAAAACTCCCAAAAAAATCCCCCCAAAATCCAAAAAAAATCCCCAAAAATCCCAAAAAAACCCCAAAAAATCCTAAAAAATCCCCCAAAAAATCCCAAAAAATCCTCCAAACATCCTGAAAAATCCCCAAAAAAACCCCAAAAAATTCCAAAATTCCCAAAAAAAATCCAAAAAAATCCTCAAAAAAATCCTAAAAAATCCTCAGAAAATCAAAAAAAATTCCCAAAAAAATCCTAAAAAATCCCCAAAAAATCCCCAAAAAATCAAAAAAAACCCCCAAAAAATCCCCATAATTCCCCCAAAAAATTACAAAAAAATCCCCAAAAAAATCCTAAAAAAACCCCAAAAAATCCCAAAAAATCCCCAAAAAATCCAAAAAAATTCCTAAAAAATCCCAAAAAAATCCCCAAAAAATCCAAAAAAAACCCCAAAAAATCCCCAAAATTCCCCCAAAAAAATCCCAAAAATTCCCCAAAAAAATCCTAAAAAAATCCAAATAAAACCCCCAAAAATCCCCAAAAATCCTCAAAAATTCCCCAAAAAATCCCAAAAAATCTCCAAAAAATCCCAAAAAAAATCCTAAAAAAATCACCAAAAAATCCCAAAAAATCCCCAAAAAATCCCAAAAAAATCCAAAAAAAATCCCAAAAAATCCAAAAAAATTCCCAAAAATCCCAAACCCCCCCAAACCGCCCCGAACCGCCCCGAATTTGCGCTCACCTGACCAGCATGGCGCGCACCTGCTCGGCCTCGGGGAACAGGTCCCAGACTTTGCCATTCATCTTCTCGTTGACCACGAAGCGATGGCAGCGGCGCCAGTCGCCCGTTTTCATGGCCTTGGAGGCGGCCACCACGTGCTCCCGCATCGACTCGGGGGGACCTGGGGGGGTTTGGGGTGAAAAACGGAGATTTTGGGAAAAATTCACATTTTTGGGGAAAAAATCCCGATTTTTGGGGGAAAAAATCCCGATTTTTGGTGGAAAAATGGTGATTTTTTGGGGGAAAAATGCCTTTTTTTTGGGAAAAATCTCGATTTTTGTGGGGAAAAAATCCCAATTTTTGGGGAAAAAAAATCCACATTTTTTGGGGAAAAATTCTGATTTTTTGGCAAAAAAAATCCCAATTTTTGGGGAAAAAAATCCACATTTTTTGGGGAAAAATCGCAATTTTTGGGGGGAAAAATCCTGATTTTTGGGGAAAACCCCTCAAGTCTCATCTGAGGAACCTCAAGGAGATCCAAAATCTCCATTTTAAAAGATAAAAACACCAAACCAACTGCTGAAAAACACAATTACAGACCTCAAAACCCAACTTCTGACCCCAAAACCCTGAGTTTTGACCCAGAACCACCAAGGACATTCTGAAGAACCTCAAGGAGATCCAAAATCTCCACTTTAAAAGATAAAACCACCAAACCAACTGCTGAAAAACACAACTATGGACCTCAAAACCCAACTTTTCACCCCAAAACCCCAACTTTTGACCCCAAAACTCAACTTTTGACCCCAAACCCCTCAAGTCTCATCTGAAGAACCTCAAGGAGATCCAAAATCTCCATTTTAAAAGATAAAACCACCAATCCAACTCCTGCATAACACAACTATGGACCTCAAAACCCAACTTCTGACCCCAAAACCCCAACGTTTGACCCCAAAACCCAACTTCTGACCCCAAAACCCCAACTTTCAACCCCAAAACCCAACTTCTGACCCCAAAACCCAACTTTCCATCCCAAAACCCAACTTCTGACCCCAAACCCCCCTTACCCAGCAGCGGCTGCCTCTCCCCCACCCTCAGCTGGTGGTGGAACTGCTTGCTGATCATCCTGCGCCGCGCGTCGAACTCGTGCGCCGCCATGTAGGGGATCTCCAGCAGCATGGCCGCCACCAGGTAGACGCACTCCAGGAGCTCCAGGTTGACGTGCATGTGGAAGGGCACCTGGCGCCGCTTCTCCACCTTCTCCTGCTCGGCGTTGCGCTCCTGGAGGCTGCGCAGGAGCAGCCCCTGGCCCAGCAGCTCCTTGGCGCGGCCCGAGGACTGGATGTCCAGCAGCGCGTTGTGCGCGTCCTTGATCAGCCCCTGCCGGAAGGCGCAGATGCCCAGCTGGACCATGGTGCGGTTGTACAGGATCTGTGGAGACAGGTGAGCTTGGGTTACCTGTACAGGTGTGTCTGTGTCACCTGTACAGGTGTGTCATGTCTCTGTTACCTGTACAGGTGTGTCATGTTTGTGTCACCTGTACAGGTGTGTTTGTGTTGTGTCTGTGTTAGCTGGACCATGGTGCGGTTGTACAGGATCTGTGGAGACAGGTGAGGTTACCTGGGTTACCTGTGTCACCTGTACAGGTGTGTCTGTGTCACCTGTGTCACCTGTACAGGTGTGTCTGTGGCACCTGTTTCACCTGTACAGGTGTGTTTGTGTCGTGTCTGTGTCAGCTGGACCATGGTGCGGTTGTACAGGATCTGCGGGGACAGGTGAGGTTACCTGTACAGGTGTGCTCCATTCACCTGTGTTACCTGTACAGGTGTGTCATGTCTGTGTCACCTGTACAGGTGTGTCTGTGTCACCTGTAAAGGTGTGTCTGTGTTACCTGTAAAGGTGTGTCATGTTTGTGTTACCTTTACAGGTGTGTGTTACCTGTGTCACCTGTACAGGTTTGTGTGTGTCAGCTGGACCATGGTGCGGTTGTACAGGATCTGTGGAGACAGGTGAGGTTACCTGGGTTACCTGTGTCACCTGTACAGGTGTGTCAGTGTTATCTGTGTGAGCTGTACAGGTGTGTCTGTGTCACCTGTGTCACCTGTACAGGTGTGTTTGTGTCGTGTCTGTGTCAGCTGGACCATGGTGCGGTTGTACAGGATCTGCGGGAACAGGTGAGGTTACCTGTGTCACCTGTACAGGTGTGTCTGTGTCACCTGTGTCACCTGTACAGGTGTGTTTGTGGCACCTGTGTCACCTGTACAGGTGTGTTTGTGTCGTGTCTGTGTCAGCTGGACCATGGTGCGGTTGTACAGGATCTGTGGGGACAGGTGTGTTTGTGTTACCTGTACAGGTGTGTGTTACCTGTGTTACCTGTACAGGTGTGTCTGTGGCACCTGTGTCACCTGTACAGGTGTGTCTGTGTCACCTGTACAGGTGTGTCTGTGTCAGCTGGACCATGGTGCGGTTGTACAGGATCTGCGGGAACAGGTGAGGTTACCTGTGTCACCTGTACAGGTGTGTCTGTGTCACCTGTGTCACCTGTACAGGTGTGTCTGTGGCACCTGTTTCACCTGTACAGGTGTGTTTGTGTCGTGTCTGTGTCAGCTGGACCATGGTGCGGTTGTACAGGATCTGTGGAGACAGGTGTGTTTGTGTTACCTGTACAGGTGTGTGTTACCTGTGTTACCTGTACAGGTGTGTCTGTGGCACCTGTGTCACCTGTACAGGTGTGTCTGTGTCACCTGTACAGGTGTGTCTGTGTCAGCTGGACCATGGTGCGGTTGTACAGGATCTGCGGGGACAGGTGAGACACGGGGTTACCTGTGTCACCTGTACAGGTGTGTCTGTGTCAGCTGGACCATGGTGCGGTTGTACAGGATCTGTGGAGACAGGTGAGGTTACCTGGGTTACCTGTACAGGTGTGTCTGTGTCACCTGTGTTACCTGTACAGGTGTGTCTGTGTCAGCTGTACAGGTGTGTCTGTGTCAGCTGGACCATGGTGCGGTTGTACAGGATCTGTGGGGACAGGTGTGTTTGTGTCACCTGTACAGGTGTGTGTTACCTGTGTTACCTGTACAGGTGTGTCTGTGTCAGCTGGACCATGGTGCGGTTGTACAGGATCTGTGGAGACAGGTGAGCTTGGGTTACCTGTACAGGTGTGTGTTACCTGTGTCACCTGTACAGGTGTGTCTGTGTTACCTGTGTCACCTGTACAGGTGTGTGTTACCTGTGTTACCTGTACAGGTGTGTCAGTGTTATCTGTGTGAGCTGTACAGGTGTGTCTGTGTCAGCTGGACCATGGTGCGGTTGTACAGGATCTGCGGGGACAGGTGAGGTTACCTGGGTTACCTGTGTCACCTGTACAGGTGTGTTTGTGTTACCTGTACAGGTGTGTCTGTGTTACCTGTACAGGTGTGTCTAGGTTACCTGGACAGGTGTGTTTGTGTTACCTGTGTTACCTGTACAGGTGTGTCTGTGTCACCTGTGTCACCTGTACAGGTGTGTTTGTGTCGTGTCTGTGTCAGCTGGACCATGGTGCGGTTGTACAGGATCTGTGGGGACAGGTGAGGTTACCTGTACAGGTGTGTTTGTGTTACCTGTGTCACCTGTACAGGTGTGTGTGTGTTACCTGTGTCACCTGTACAGGTGTGTCTGTGTTACCTGTGTGAGCTGTACAGGTGTGTCTGTGTCAGCTGTACAGGTGTGTCTGTGTTACCTGTACAGGTGTGTCTGTGTTACTTGTGTTACCTGTACAGGTGTGCTCCATTCACCTGTGTCACCTGTACAGGTGTGTTTGTGTCGTGTCTGTGTCAGCTGGACCATGGTGCGGTTGTACAGGATCTGTGGGGACAGGTGAGGTTACCTGGACAGGTGTGTCTGTGGCACCTGTACAGGTGTGTCATGTTTGTGTCACCTGTACAGGTGTGTCTGTGTTATCTGTGTGAGCTGTACAGGTGTGTCTGTGTCAGCTGTACAGGTGTGTCTGTGTTACCTGTGTTACCTGTACAGGTGTGCTCCATTCGCACCTGTTTCACCTGTACAGGTGTGTTTGTGTCGTGTCTGTGTCAGCTGGACCATGGTGCGGTTGTACAGGATCTGTGGGGACAGGTGAGGTTACCTGTGTCACCTGTACAGGTGTGTCTGTGTCACCTGTGTCACCTGTACAGGTGTGTCTGTGGCACCTGTGTCACCTGTACAGGTGTGTTTGTGTCAGCTGTACAGGTGTGTCTGTGTTACCTGTGTTACCTGTACAGGTGTGCTCCATTCACCTGTGTCACCTGTACAGGTGTGTCTGTGTCGTGTCTGTGTCAGCTGGACCATGGTGCAGTTGTACAGGATCTGTGGGGACAGGTGAGCTTACCTGTACAGGTGTGTCTGTAACCCCTCAGGTGTGTGATTTACCCCCCCAGGTGTGTGATTTACCTGCCCAGGTGTGTGATGTTTACCTGCACAGGTGGGTCGGCGTGCTGGATGTTGTCCTGCAGGTGTGATGTTTACCTGCCCAGGTGTGTATTTAACCCCCCCAGGTGTGATTTACCTGCCCAGGTGTGTGTTTAACCCCTCAGGTGTGTGATTTACCTGCACAGGTGGGTCGGCGTGCTGGATGTTGTCCTGCAGGTGTGTTCAGTTACCTGCACAGGTGTGTGATTTACCTGCCCAGGTGTGTGCCATACCTGCACAGGTGGGTCGGCGTGCTGGATGTTGTCCTGCAGGTGTGACATCAGCATCAGGTCGCGGGCGCGGTACCAGCGGCTGTGCAGGGCGTGGTGGTAAATGTGGCACAGGATGGCGCAGGTGCGGATCCGGTCCGTGCGGTCCTTGGCGTACACGAACCTGCCCAGGTGACACAGGTGAGACAGGTGAGACAGGTGAGACAGGTGGGACAGGTGGGACAGGTGGGACAGGTGAGACAGGTGGGACAGGTGAGGGACAGGTGGGACAGGTGGGACAGGTGAGGGACAGGTGAGACAGGTGAGACAGGTGGGACAGGTGGGACAGGTGGGACAGGTGAGGGACAGGTGGGACAGGTGGTAAATGTGG